TACACATTTACGTGGCGCAGGCTCACGAATAAAATCTTAAGATATATTTCTTCTTTTGAGAAAACTTAAATAACTTCACTCCTTCGTCGTCTTAAACTAAAACACTACCACTGCACTTTGTTTGCTTGTATTTTCTCTCGCTCGCGCGCGCTCATTCATATGTGGCGGCGGATGAATTTAAGTCCTATGTGAACTGATATATTCCCTCACAATATCAGCGTAATGCTGATGTCTAAGTTTTCTCAAAGCAACGAGGAGAAGATGAAGGTATAACGGTGACACGGCGGAAAGAGGAAATATTTTTCAAATCACATTTTTAGTCGTAGTATTAGTAGAAGTTTAATCACCAGTTATCTTTTTTGTAATAAAGACATTATTTAAAAAGGTGCATTCGTTTTACATTGCATGCCACGTTTACCTCCATCTATGCCCACAAAAAGGTCAGTTTTTAAAACTGACAAAGAAAAAAAATGATATTTCTTCACATAAACATTTAAAATATTTAAACAAGTAATTATTTGAAAGTGGCATTTGATGCCAAATTTCTTACACATGCAGAATAACGAAACTTTGGGGGGAGGGGGTGAGAGATTAGCTATCCTTGTTTTCTACTCCTATCGCGCTACACGGTAGATTAACTTGATACCCAAATATTCTTAATTATTACCTCTTTTTGTAAGTGCAGAACTATTTCAATTGTACTGTGACAACTTACCGCTCCTTTTTTGACTACAGTTCCTACAAACTAAGCTACTAAATTACATGCGTTTTGGAGTGGGTTGGACGAATTTTCAAAGTGAAGACATTTCAGTGGTACGAGGGGTGAAAAGAGTTTTCATTTCCAAGAAAATGATACGTGCTGATCGAGACAAAGGTTTGCATTTCTCATTCACTTTTGCTCTTTTTCGTTCCTTTTGGTAGGCTTGTTTTTACTACCAAGAGCGCGGATATCATTCTCTCTTGCAAAAACCGATTCTCATTCTAGGTTACGAATAAATATTTCTGCAACAAGTAAGAAAAGTCGACCAAATATATATATCAACAACTTTGAAAATCACCGTACTTTTTCTCCATTACAAAACGCTTGTTATGAAAACTAGATAGCTTTTGTTCAACACGTGCTTATCAGGAGCTAATTACGCCTAATCAAGTGCTTATCATGTGCCTATATTTCGGATACCATCGATGATAACCGCGTCATTAATGTTGTACATTCCTGAATCGGAGTCAGGTTTAATTCAACTATCTAAAAATAAAATTTTGCACTGAAAATTGACCGTAGTGCAGCCAAACAACGAAAACAAAACAAACGCCTATTACTTATATATTTCTCCGAAAAACTAGCCAAAATTCATAACTGTCAAACCAATTAACAAAAACTGTAGACATATTACGCGATCAAATGAATCAGTGGCATCTACTGAGAAAATCTTACACACACTAGGTATAATTATATCTACAAATAAATTGACGACGTCTCCAGATCAATAATTAATATAACGATTGCAGACGCCTTTGGCTGAACTCGTTACCTTGACGGGTTGACTGAAAAACTCAAACCTCGCGGAGGCGACTTGACATAGATTCCTGTCTTCAAACAAGCTTTCAATAACATTTTCACTTTTGAGCGGCGTGGTATTGATACTGAGGATCAACATTTCCATCACTAAGAAGAAAAAAGTAATCGAACGATATGGCACCTCAAAATAATACGCATACTTTAGGGTTTCTTCATCCTCGGAGACCCAGGGGCAGATAGTGGGGGCGAGGGAAAGTCTAAACAGGCGGAAAAATATGGCGCAAAAGAAAAGTAAAAAGCGCTTTTCTTCGTGCCTTATTTTCCCGCCCGTTTAGACTTTCCCTCGCCCCCACTATCTGCCCCTGGGTCTCCGAGGATGGGGTTTTTTGTGAAATTAAAAGAAGTTTAGAATCGAGGGAGAATTATCCTATAAAAACCTCACAGTGGATATCATGTACCTCAAGGAAAAGAAATACACTGTAGGCCAAAAATAAAATTTGTGGTAATGTGTTGTAATGTTTGTGTTGTTGTTTTTGTTGTTGTTTTTTTCCCCTTATTAAAAATAACATTTTTTAAAAACTGCGCGCGCTCCGCGCGCTCCAAGTGTTCGAGGATGTGAGAAGTCTGGAAACGAGGTCGTATTTTTAATCGGCCCAGTCCCAGTCTTCTCTCATCCGATCTCATCTCCGAAGCGAATACTTTCGCAGTCAATGAAAAGGTTAATGGAGGATTAATTGAACTTCGTAAAGAACTCTAATTTACGGTACGTACTTTTACTTCTCTAGTGACCAACAGCAATCTGGAACAAAATGAAACAATGAAATTTATCAGTTAAGCTTATCCTTCTCATGCAACTTGCGCCAAGTTGCATCTCCCTGCAGTTGCACGCCTCGAGAAAGGCTTGCTGACTAAGCGTAAGCTTAACTTGTACTGCCCACGTCATTTTTTTAGAGGTCAACTTTCCCCAGATATTTTCATTTCCACCTCTTTTGCCTGAACAACACCCGAAAACTTGAGAAATCCTCACTTTTGAGGGACGTGTTATGTTCTGGAGCGGTGCTTGCACATCATCAATACCCGGGCGGCAGAAGTATTTGTGTGCACAAACAAATCTTATAATCGCTTATTACATTGTGTCCCAAAACGAGGGTCTTAATGCCGAAGATTACATATTTTATTTATCAACGCATCCCAAGATAAAGTAGTGTATAAAGCGACTTCATTTTTACTTGCGGTTAAGTGGCGAGAAACGTCAGGCAACTTGCAAAACCATGATGAAGGCGAATACGCCAAATTTATACTAGGTTTGATACACTGTGTGATACAATCCTTCATGCTCTCCTAATGCAAATAATGTCGTTGTTATGCCCGCAAGTGTTTTTAGCATAATTCTGTATGGAAAGCTGGAAGGTTTCTACCAGGTAGCCTGCATAACAGGCACTTTATGAGCCAAGCGAGGCGAACGCGGCATTTTGCGCGAAGCGCGAAACGAGTGCGAAGCGCGAGACGAGGGGAGGAGAAAAATAAAGCGCCTGTTACCAGTCCATTGTTCTGGTTTTTTTGTGAAAATTTTGTAGTTGTGTGATATGCAGGGAGAAATGACAACATTTTTATTTAATTCAGTGGGCTTTAATTTGTATTTGATGGCTTTATAGGGGTTAAAGTGGCTGAAGAATTAAAAATTTATCCGGGCTTTATTATTCAATGGGACATTATTGTCACGTTTTACAACATTTTACTCTTTTGTTCCCAGCCTAAGCAACTCATTTACCAAAGTGAAAGAATAGATATGACACCCTACTTTTGGTCAATGCAAGCGAAAAAACAGAAAAGAAAGAGGCCAGTCCAGGGATATTTTATTTAAAAAACACCATCCATAAAGAAATTTTAAGCAGAGTAGCCGGCCGATACTAACCAAGTAGGGGGTGATTTTCAGCGGCAGCCGGCTACTTTTGACAACCCTGCTAACCACAGTTGTTAATAACAATGAAATTTTGCAGAGTCCTATGGTAATACAGGGGATATAACTAACAATTCCAGTGTTGTGTTTACATTGTATCTTAACCCAAGGCTGATGTTGACTTGGGCCAAAAGCATCTACGGTTAAAAGGTTTATACAGTAGTGTATGATGTACATGTATGAACAGAATTTCACTTCTCATAATTACACAAACTTAGGTAACATTTACACTAGATAATTTTAAAAACAAAATTGATTAATGTTTAATCTTATTAATATTCGAAATACTTACAATGATGCACTCCTCCGTCAGAACTGTCAAAATAAATTGAATGATAAGTCAGATGGTTAAATAATTTTATTTTTGGTCTCAGTATTCTTCATTTCTTGAATGTTTATTTGTCATGTTTTAAATAGGTATTTGAATAAAAAAATTCCTGACTTGTAATTCACTCCAAATTGAACTTTTGCTGTTTATTTTTTCAGGACGAGAGGAGGCATCTATTTACACTAAGGTTTGTATGATTTTAAGTTATGACAAAAATTCAAAATAATCAGAGTTTTATTTATTGTGTCAGTTACAATGATGTTATCACTCTGTAATGAAGGAAGTATTTAATATCTTTAAAGTTTATATAGAATAGTGACAGCAATGACAGAAAGATAACACCAATACTGTGGGATTCCTGCATTTTCCTCAGAAGTTGTTGTGAATTTACATTTTGTTTTAGATGGAACTTTGGGATTAAAAGAGGATTCTTCGATGCTTAAATTTTTAGTTTTTCGGAATTTTGTTAGTAAAGTTGTTACTGCCTTTCTCTTTATCCCAACCTTGTTTACTGACACTGACTATTAGCTTTGATGAAAACTGAAGAAAAGTTCCGTTAGAGACTTGTGAGCATTTCCCCACCGGCTGTCTTGTTTGAATGCAGAGTTGCCATCAAGTGCTATGCAGAGAGAAAAATCTGACGATTTTGGTTAGAGGATTAGAATTGTCTAGGGGTGGGAAGTGGAATAGAAGTGTACCTAAAATTAGGCTGTAGACAAACTTCTCAGTTAGTAACTATGAAAGGTGAAAGGTCAGTTTATTGATGTTATGTTCACTCAGCTGAAGGGGAAATGGAAATTCCTCAGTGATTGTTGCTAGTATGCTTGTTCAAAATAGGCTAAGCTCAGACTTTATCAGATTAATTTTTGCACTTGCCTAGAAACCAATCTAGTATAATGTGAACAGCTGTAACAAAAAATTAATCAGCCCAAAGCTTATAAGGTTCAAAGTATATCACTTTCAAAAGTGATGAACACAAGGCTAATCCAGTGTAGTTTTTAAACTGGAACAAACATTGTGGGTATTGTGTGAACGTAGCCATACATGTAGTTTAAATGTAGCAGTATGACTTTCCTCCTAGATATTGCTGGCCACATGCTCAAGATGACAACTCCATGATTGAACATTAAAACCCAACAACTTCAGTACAAAAAGTTACTGGGATTGCTCACAGTCTACTCCAATAACAAAACCTACTGAAAAGGGTATTGACTTACCGCCATGGTATGACCAAAGCCTGTTGGCTGCGGACTGGTGGCTGTATATCCCAAACCATCAGCTGCGGTGTTAGCAGCAGAGTTAATGTAACTGCTAACGTGTAGATCCTGGACTGGTCCTGGACTTGTTGCAGCTGTGGCAAATGCTCTTGAAACTGGAGAGGGTGGGGGTGGACCAAACTGCTGGTGATAATTCATTCCTCCTATAAAAAGTAATGAGTCATAAATAAAATGTGACTTTGTACACAAGAAGGAATGTTCCATCTGATTAGAAAACATTGAGTTAAGGAGTCTAACTGGGTTCAAAGGGTTAGAAAAAACTTGTAAACTCTGTAATTCTCACCTGAGTAATCTGCGTAATCCTGCATGGCATGAGCAACTTGGGGAATGTCAGGTGGTCTGTTGTGCCGTGGGCCCTGATTATTTATATTGGCATAATCAGCATAGTACTGGCTACCACCTGCTGAGCGCCGCTGATCACCAGGGTTCACAAAACCAGTATGATATCCAGGAAAGCCTTCAATGAACAAACACAGCAATTCAGCTTTTGGATTGAGAGTGAAATGGTCAATGTAGATGAGACTGATCTGCCTCTGGTATTCTTGACAGATACAGCTGGTCAAAATGATCAAATTTTCAACTTGTTTGTGGAGTTTTGCTTTCACAGACCAGTTGCATGCCCTCTTAGTTGTTAGTGGATAATGGTGTGATACTTATGCCCTTTCTTTGGTGAACAAGTAACAACTAGAAAGATGTATCTCGCAAAAACCTCGCAAAACTCTGTGTTGCACAAAGTTAAGCCCTGCTATTTGAGGCTAGATTCTGGCTCGGTGACCAGCCACAAATATCCTGTCAGGAGGGCTCCTACACTTTTTTCTCTTTACTTTTTCCTTTTTTGTTTTATTGTCCAGTTTGATTCTTAAATGGATATTGCAAAGCACAATTTTTTTGGAAAGAAGTAGAGCCACCTTAAAGTGCCTTCATTAGTCATGAAAGGGAAAAAAATAACTAGATTTTCTTTCACACATTAATACAAGCATTGCAGCTCTTACCCAGCATCCCAGGGAAGTTTCCCATAAATCCACGCCCCTTGCCTCTAACTTGCCTGTTTTGTACCGCAAATGCAGCCGCAGCTGCTGCTTGGCTATAACCTGCTTAATTAAGGCAAATAGAAGTAATAAGTAATAAGCTGTCAAACTTTGCATATTGCCTTGAGGCCTGAAAACACTGCTTCTGTGAGTGGTGTATGGGAACAAAACATTGTGACTGGATTGTGGAGCTAAAATTCAATGAGGAAATGATTATCACAGTTTACATGTTTACATTACATTTTTGCTCGCTCGGGCCATCGTTGCAAATTACATGAGGTACCAAAACAAACTAAGTCATTATTGGACCTCTCTGACCGTGAACTAAGCTGTGAACCACTTACATAAGCAGTTTGTAGCTTATGTAAGCTGTGGCCAGAGTAATCTGCACCTTATTTTCTCTCGTATAAATGGCGCTATTGTTTCTGCTGTTTGTCGTTAAGTTATTACATGAAGCTCATGATAGTGAGCAATTCAAGCAAGGGCCTCCACTGAAATGAATTTTTAACTTCTCATCAAATGGTGCTCATTTATTAATGTTCAATCAGTTAACAGCAAAGATGTTTTGGGATTTTACCTGCAAAAGGAAAGTTACCAAACCCAGGGCCAAAACCAGATGGAGGAAAACCACGAGGGAATCCAGGAGCAAAGGGATACACTGTGAATAAAATGTAAGTGGATAAGTGTCAAATTTCCTCTTTGTACCATTAATAATTGACGGATTTATTCTAAACCAACGAAATAAGACCATCAGAATTAAGGTGGATCAGGTTTAGAAATAAATGACGATAACAATCTATCCAGTTGTCTTCGCCACTGCACTAAGCACTGCAGCCTTAGTCATTATATTGGTTTTCCAAATGTATGTAAGTACATTGTAAGTAACTAAGAAAAAATGTATAGAGTGTTTTCACTCATGTGGCCAGCATCTATGCAAATTTATGAGAACAAAAGAAATAGTTTACATAAGAAATGAGTTCAACTCCCACAGGATTAGTTTGGAACGCCAAAATGGCCACCGTGACATCATGTGAAAATGCTCCATAGATTTAGCCAAGGCAAAAGTGAAGCTCTTGTGGGAACTTTTAAGAAATGTCTTTTTTGGGTGAAGTTTTCTGAGCCTGATATCACTTTAATGACATAATTCATCAGGGGAGAACTAAACAAAAACATGCTACCTCAGATTGAACACCTGAGCCTGCAATACAGTCATGTGACACTGGTCAGCAGATACCCTATTTTGACAGTTGTCAATTGATCATAACATGGATGCCTAATATCAGGTTAAACACAACTTTTTTATGCCTTGGCAAGTACAACGTTTCATATCCACTAACATGAAAGGGGTTGATGTACATAGACAATTTTGTCAGAACCAAAATGTTTTGTGCTTTGCTGCACACTCTGCACACATGTGAGAGCTCTGCTACTGTTTAATAAAAACTTAAATGTTTTTTCATTTGGTTAAGTTTTGGACCCGTCAGGACACTACTCCTAACTTGATTCACAAACTATTCATGCCTTTTAGTCTTGGAACTGTTCCTCATAACTTTGGACCATTGGGTAGTGATTTAATTTGAAGCACACACACACACACAAGAAGAATATCTGAGTACCTCTTATGGGTTTCACACTCCAAAACTTATCTCATTTCTCAACAAGAACTGATTAAGAACAACTTACAGAATCCACGTCCTGCCATGCCTCTTCCTGCCCTACCACGTCCACCCTGCAAGCTTTGCATCACTTCTCTAGGTTGTGCCTTCTTAACTTCTGTCTGAGATAGTAAAAACATTGAGCATTATCAGTAATAATATTTATTAAAATATTTTAGTGGGCTTGTGACAATGATGTTTGACAGTTTCAGCTCTGGTGCTCTTCATTATTTTTTCCTCCTGTTCTTGAACATTTTTGTTCTTGAAAAACTGTCTTTTGTTGCACAGGTTTTTAAATGGATATAGGCAACAAAATACAGCTGGTTGCCAACGTTTTAGATCTAGCTTAGTTGGATGTCAGTGCAGCCCCTGTTGTTGCCTTCTATATCTTATGAAAATGCTATGAAATAGCAGTATGACAAATTTAGTTGTTCAGGAGTGTCTTTTGTGAATACCACTGACTCTCCAACTTGTAAATTTTCGACATTGATGTCAATATCAAAGAATATAACGTACCTTTTTGTCATTTATAACATGAAACTGTTCCTCACAGGCACTATCAGCCTCATCTTCGTTTTGAAATGTTACAAAACCAAAACCTTCAAACAAATATTAATGCATCTATTAGTTTTTTTCACTTAATGTTACTAACCTGTGGTGCAGACAGATGTGTCATTTAACATAGTTTGCCTGCATAACAGCTTTCAAAACACTGTTACACTGACAAAGAGGAGTCTGTTAGTGCCAAGACGTTCCTTGTATCAGATGAACAATACAGGGTGTCCAGTGAGTCCTGTTTTCCTATAAAATTCTATTAAATCCTATTTTTTGAGACCTTTCCTATAAAGTCCTATAAATTGAGCAAATTCCTATATTTTCCTATATTTTTTAAAGCCTTTTTCATAAAAAATTCTAGAAATATTTTAAAATGTAAATAAGTGTTTAATGGGCAGTTAAAAATCCACAATTCAGGAAACTTTGATGTTGCACAGATGTGTTTGCTACACCTCAAAATGCAAAATATTCTTTAAACTAAAATTCAGTCTTCCAGTCTTCTTTCTTCTGATGGAGTTGATTGTGAAGGCTGTAATTTATGGATGCTTTACCTGATCTAAAAGAATATGAGTGCATCCAGAATGGCGACTTTTGTTGACATTGGCTATTATTTGGCTTAGTTTCTGTAATTCTAATATTGCCATTTCTGCATTCACAGAAGTGTCAGGACTTAGTTTTAGACTTGAACTTGTAGATATTGTCAACCATTGTTGAATTGAAAAGAAGAAAGATTGCTATTGTTTTTTATCTTGTATGCAGAGGGGTTCATTGTTACTGAGATGATGTTATGATCCCAGAAAAAAAAAAAGTGCTATTTTGACTGGGCTTACTATAAATTTGAAAGATATCTTTGAAACTGAAAAAGAGTCTTTCTTTTGTTGGCCCTACAATTTTGGCAACATATTAAAATAACTAGTCAATAAAGAAGCTGGTGTTGGGCCTGTAAGTTACTACTGGATTAGTCCTATNCATAAAAAATTCTAGAAATATTTTAAAATGTAAATAAGTGTTTAATGGGCAGTTAAAAATCCACAATTCAGGAAACTTTGATGTTGCACAGATGTGTTTGCTACACCTCAAAATGCAAAATATTCTTTAAACTAAAATTCAGTCTTCCAGTCTTCTTTCTTCTGATGGAGTTGATTGTGAAGGCTGTAATTTATGGATGCTTTACCTGATCTAAAAGAATATGAGTGCATCCAGAGTGGCGACTTTTGTTGACATTGGCTATTATTTGGTTTAGTTTCTGTAATTCTAATATTGCCATTTCTGTATTCACAGAAGTGTCAGGACTTAGTTTTAGACTTGAACTTGAAGATATTGTCAACCATTGTTGAATTGAAAAGAAGAAAGATTGCTATTGTTTTTTATCTTGTATGCAGAGGGGTTCATTGTTACTGAGATGATGTTATGATCCC